CAGCAGGAAGCATGCTGACCAATAATAGCCTGTAAGTGGTGACTTACAGAAACTGCCTGGTCTTTCTTGCAGCAGCTATGAGGCCTCCAGGGGAGGAGGTACATAGATCTACACATCCTTTCTAGATGGCAGCTACGGCCTGTTCACTGTCTTCTGTCTCAGGCGGAAAGGAAATCTTATATGATGGGGAGTTCTCAGGTCCCAAGTAGGAGATTTTTCCTTCTGTTCTCAAAGACAGAGATTGACCTTCCTAAATTCACACATTGACAAGCATTAAGATTGGGATTTGAATTCTGACATCTTAATTCTGAGTTTAACTCTTTTATATATCCACCTATCACAGTTTAGAAAACTTACTGGCCCAAGATTTAGGCAATCAGCATTGCTTGACACCATTTGAACTTTCAATGAAACGAGGCTCAAGATGAACTCAACCTCTGGACTCCCCAGTTAAATAAGCCAGTAAATTGCTTTCTTTGCTTGGGCTGCTTCAACACTGGTTCCTTAACATTTGCCAGTAAATTTTCATAATGATGTATGAAACTTTCAATTCTACATTCAGGTGTGTGAGCCCACGAAGAGCTGATCATTAAAGTGTACTGATGGTGAACTGGGTGCCAAGTCCCGTGCACATGCTTTGTGTAGGCAACTTACCCTGAAAACAATGAGGTAATTTTCATGGCCTCATTTTCTAGGTGAAGTAACTGAGGCACAGTGCGGTTAAGTGTATTTCTCAAGATCATGTATCTAGTAAGATTCAGAGCCAAGATTCTAACCCAGGGAGTCAAATGCCACAGTCCCTGCTCATAACCTTATTGTCACACAGACCTCTGTGGGTGCACCTGTGAATACCTGTACGTCTTAACAGTGGTATTAAGAGGTAGACTAACACGAGAGCCAGCAGGTGGAATGGCAGTTCAAGTACCAGACCTGGTGGCTTGAAAATCATACCTGGTGTGTGTGTGTGTGTGTGTGTGTGTGTGTGTGTGTGTGTGTGTGTCCAAAATCATGAGAGGAGACTGGAGAAGGGATTGAGGCATGGCTGTCTCCCCAGGTGGTGACTTCTCACTGTCCCTCTCTATGTGTGTTTCTCTCTGGCAAACACACATGCCCTATAGCAAAACTGAAATAAATAAATAGAGGTATACTAACAGGGAAGAAGCTACAGAAGGTTTTTAGCACGTTCATCATGTTCTGCAGTGCAGACTCTGATCTCAGGACGCCCAGCCACATGGCATGCTGAGAAGCCCTCCAGGGACAAGTCAGTGAGTTGAGACAAAGTCACTGGACCATGCTTCACGGCAAGGGAGCTCGGGGCTTCGGGAAAGTGGTGAATCATAGCATCTGTCATCAAACAGGGAGTCGGTGAAACAGGAGGATTTCTGGAAGCAGAATCCAGTTCAGAGAAGGCAAAGAGGATTAAACTGACAGGGGTGTCAGTAGGATCCCTTGCTCCATCCCATTGTCCATTATACCTTCAATCCAAGCAGTAGCAAAGTTTACGTTTATATGTGACTAATAATGTAGTGTTCTACAATTGTTGGGCATTTGTGATGTTCCTCATTTTTACCATTATTTGCAACACCACAAAGAACGCCTTTCCAAAATTTCCCAGTTTCCTGGGACCAGTGGATGGTGTGGTGGTTAAGGCATTGGACACTCCCACATGGCCGACCATGGTTCAAGTCCTGAATCTGGTGGCTTGTTTTCTCACTTCCTCTCTCTCTCACTCTCAATCTCTGTCTCTCTCTGGTCAAATTAAAAAATCAAAGAATGAGTAAATAAAAAATAAAATAAAGTTATTAAAAATAAATCCCAGTTTCCTAAGTATAACTTTCATAGAGAAGACTTACTGGGTGAGAGTATACATGTGTTAAGTATTGATACATGTTGTCAGATCATTGTTGACAGAACTTAACAAGCAACTTTTCTACTAGCTAACTACACAAATACATGTTTTATATACTTTTGTGTTTTTAGCATCCTTTTTAATCTTTGAAAATACAAGATATAAAAAACATTTATTGTTGTTTTCTTGGGTTTTTGTTTTTTGTTTCGTTTGTTTGTTGAATAATGAAATTATTCTATTGGCAATTGGGTCATTGAACACTTTTAAATTTTTTTCTCTTGTTTGTTGTCCAGCAAGATAAGAGCCAATGTCTGTATGGGACCTCCCGCAGAAGGAAATTTTTTTTCTGAAACAGAGCTTTTCCTCCCCTCCTCTCAGGTTTCACTGTTACCAGATTATGTTCACACCTCTTTTTGTCTAATCTGAATTCACTGTTGCCAATGGAAACCAGAGAACAATTTTGGCAGAGAGGATCTGTTTTTCCTTCTCTCTTCTCATCCTATAGAGTCCATCCCTACCAACCACCTTCAAATCCTAAACATAGAAGTAGATTTTCTCCAAGATTCACTCAACCTTCAAACAAACCAAATATTTCACTTCTAGAACTATACCAAAAAACGGGAGGCCTTCTTTTGTATGACATATTCTTCTGTTTTTCTGTGCAAAACTGTGTCATGACTTTCCTGACAACCCAATAGTTTTTAATTTTCTTGTTATTGTCTTCAGAAATGACTGCCTAGTAGGAGTTTACTCTTTTGCTCAAGTTGATGTTGGAGAGGGAAAATTATTTTCAATGTTTTGAAAATAATACTTACATGTAACTTAAGAGTGATATTTCCATTTGTTTTCTCTTTTAGTTAGTATAAAGATTGTATTCAAATTTTTAATTATCATTATAACTATAATAATAATAGGAATAATGCATATGTAGTTCAGATGCAGGAGTTGATTTAAACTGCAGAGAGCTTTTGTTTGCCTAGAGCTACTTACTTTAGTTATAAAGTAAATGCTAAAAAGTTCATTCTCTAAACAAATAATGATTAGTGATGAGTCTTCAGGATAGTTCTGTACCCCAAGTGTATTGCAGTATTATTCACAATAGCCAAGAAATGGAAACAACCTCAATGCTCATCAATGGATAAATGATCAAACAAAATGGTGTGTGTGTGTGTGTGTGTGTGTGTGTGACAATAGTATTCAGTCTTTAAAAAGAAGGAAATTCTTCCATGTATGAAAGCATGAAAAAGTGTGGAGGACATTGTGCTATGTGAAACCAGCCAGTCACAGAATGACGTATGTTATGTGATTCCACTTATACCAAGTATCTAAAACAGTCAAACTCATAAAAACAGAAAATAGAATGTTGGTTGCGAGAATCTGGGCGTGAGGGGAAAACAGAGAGCTGCTTTTCAACAGATGGAAAGTTTCAATTATGCCAGATGAGTAAGCTCTGGAACTCTGCTTTACAACATTGTGCCTACTAACATTGCTGCTGTATTGTGCATTTCAACGTTTGCTGCAAGGTTAGACCTCATATGAAGTATTCTCGCCACAATCATAATTAATTAATTAATTTGCAATTGGTTTAAAAGGTTTTCATGTGATCAAATCTATCAACAATCAATGAATTTTTGTCTTTTCTTCCATGTTTACAAACTTCATTCTTATTTCTACATCATAAAATCTCTTATAAAGCAAATGTAATTTTATATTTTAATTAATATTGAAGTCTTTTTTTGTGCGTTAGTTAAGGTAACTCTAGCTACTGTAACAGATAAATCCTAATTCTAGTGGTTCAACATAGCAAAAGTTTATTTCTCACCTCTATCAGAATACAGTGAAGATGTTAACTGGGAAGCCATAAGCATGAATCTATAAGGATCCAAATTTCTTCTATCTTGAATCTGTGATCTCCTTTAGGTCAATTGCATCCTCTTTAATGACCTAAAAAGAACATGGCGAAATGTTGACAGAACGTCTATCTGTGGAGACCAGTCATAGAAGAGATCTGTATCACTCTTGTTCACTTTCCACTGGTTGAGATTCACTGAATAGATGCACCAAATTGTGAGATTCTAGGGGTTTAGATGTGGGAAGAGGAGAGAACTAAAATAATCTTCAGGTAAGACAGAGAAGTCTCTGTCATAATTTGGCACAATTTTGTTGTAAAATGAGAAATAGGAATCTTTATCATTTGAAATTTGGGGGTTAATTTAAGCACCAAGTCTTCTCTATGGGGAAGGAGCCAGGAGCAATGAGAGATATAGACTGAGCACAAAAGGACCAAGTCTCAGACTTCTTATTGCATTCTGCCTGATATGTCTTGGACTAACTCCCTCCTGCCTCCCTCCACCATTAAGCCCCCGAATCTTCGCCATGGTACAGGAATTAGTGACAGCGAGAGAGATAGAGTGCAAAGGGACCTTGTACCAGACCTTTTACTGCATTCTGCCCACCCAGGTGTATTTTGAGGTTTTATAGTTTGTTGAACCTATTTCCTTCTCCAGTTGAATTTCTCCATCTTGACCCCAGTTGAACCTGGTCCTGAGAGGCTGGGACAGAAATTAACACCTAAAGCTGGTGACATATACTCTTTTCTGATTGGATGACAAAGCCCTCTCCCAAGAACATGCCTGAGAAGTAGAGCTTGTCTCCCCTCTGACACTATAGAATCTTCAGAACAGTAGGAAGAGGTATATAATTCATCAGATGACCAGAAACCAATGCAGAGACATAAGACATATGAGAAAACAAGGAAATATCTCTCCCTCAAAAGACCAGAACAATTCTCCCTCAACCATAGACAACACAAAAGAATTCACAGAAATGTCAGAAAAATAATTCAGAATATTCATAGTGACAAAACTAAATGAGATGCAAGGGGAAAAAAAATAAATAACTCCAGGAGATGAGGAAGTCCTTCCATGACTTGAAGGAGGAATAGACACCATAAAAAAGAATCAAACAGAATCTCTAGAGATGAAGACTGCAATACAGGAAATAAAAACTTCCCTCAAAAGTATTAATAGAGGGACCAGCAGTTGGCATAATGGCTATGTCACTGGACTCCCACGTAGTCGACCGCAGTTCGAGTCCTGGACCCAGTGGCTTAAACTCACACTGGGCATGTGTGCGTGCGTGCCCAAGATCCCGAGAGGAGAATGGAGGAGAAGGGATTGCAGCATGGCCATCCCCCTGGGGGGATCATTTCTCGCTTTCTGTCTCTCTATTTCTCTATGTCTTTCTGGCGAGTCCATGCACCCTGTAGCAAAAAACCTCCCCCCTCCAAAAAAAAAGTATTAATATAAGATTAAACCATGCAGAGTATAGACATTCTGCTCTGGAAGACAAAAGCCTCTGACTTAGATTGAAAAAATGAGGACAACATACTAGACACCATTAAGTGTCCAAATATCCAAATAATATTTATTCTAGAAGGTGAAGAACCTGACAAGGGCATCAAAGTTCTATTCTATGAAATACTTGCAGAAAACTTTCCAAACTTAGAGAAACATTCAGACACTCAGGCCCAACAAACAAACAATCCCAAATAGAATCAACATAAGAAGATCCCCTCAACAGTACATCATAGACAGATTGATCAAAATCAAAGACCAAGACAAAATTCTAAAAATGGTGAAAGAGAAATATCAGGTTACTTACAAAGTTTGTCCCATTAACATCAGACCTCTCAACTGAAACAGTGCAGGCAAGGAAAGAATGGGCAGACATATTCAAAACATTAAAATAAAAACAATTTCAACCAAGACTATTATACCTGGCAAGACTATCCTTCAAATGGGAGGAACAAATAAAATCATTCTCAGATAAACAAAAACTGAAAGAATTTATGAACACTAGACCTTTTCTTCAAGAAGTACTGAAAGTAGTACTGTATCAGGAAAATTAAAGAGAGACAAACAGAAATAGGAAACATAAAAAATAGAAAGAAAATAGCTTTAAAAATAGCATGAATAAGTCTGCAAATATTGACAATAATGTTAAATGTTAATGGGTTAAAATCTCCAATTAAAAGAAAAAGACTGACAGAATGGGAAAAAAAAAAAGCCCTCTGTATGCTACCTACAAGAAATGCACCTCATGGATAACGACATACATAGACTGAAAGAGAAGGGCTAAAAAAAGGGTATTCTATGAAAATGGAAATTTTTTAAAAAGTTGGAGTTATGATACTGGTATCAGACAAAATAGACTTTAAGACAAAAACTGTAAAACAGAGACAATGAAGGGCACGATACAGTACTAAAAGGGCTAATTTACCAAGAAAATATAACACTTAAAAATATCTACTCAACACTGGAGCATCCAAATACATGAAAGAAAGACTGCTAAATCTAATAAGAGAAATAGACTGCAACACAATAATCATTGGAGAATCTCAGTATCCTGCTGTCTTCTTTGGACAGATCATCTAGCCAAAGAAGTAAAGAAACACAGGATCTAAACAACACCATAAATGAAATGTACTTGACATAACTTTCCACCCAACAATCACAAAATATACATTTTTCTAAACTGAGGATGGAACATTTTTAAAGATAGAGCACAAAGCTAGCCTTTACAAATTCAAAGATATGGAAACTATATCCAGAATCTTCTCTGACCACAATGGAATAAAACTTGAAAGTAACTGCAGTGGGGAAAAATTTTAAAATACACAAACACATAGAAATTAAACACCTGTTCCTAAATGATTTTGCACCCATTAAATAAAGACCAAAATTTTAAAATTCATTGAAACCAATGATAATGAGCACATGAATTTTCATAATTTATGAAACACAGAGAGAACAGTCATAAGGGAGAAGTTGTTAGCAATTACTGCTCACAAGAAAAAAACTGAAAGGTGGCAAATAGACAACCTAACAACACATCCCAGGCAGTAAAACTGAAAGGTGGCAAATAGACAACCTAATTACACATCCCAGGGAACTGGAAAATTAACAACAATATATCCCAAAAATAACAGGAGAAAGTAAGTAATAAAGATTAGAACAGAAGTAAATTAAATACAGAATAAATGAACTATATAGAAAATAAATGAAACAAAAAACTGGTTCTTTAGGAAGATAAACAAAATTGACATACCATTAGCTATACTAATTAAGAACAGAGAAAGGAGCCAAATAAATTTAATCATCAATAAAGCAGGCAATATTACAACAGACAGAACAGAAATACAAGCAACTATACACCAAGCAAGAAAACCTGGATGATATTGACAAATTTCTGGAAACATAGAATCTACTGAACAGAAATACAAGCAACTATACACCAAGCAAAAAAACCTGGATGAGATTGACAAATTTCTGGAAACAGAATCTACAGAGATTGAATCAGGAAGACATAGAAAACCTGAATAGACCACGAAAAAGCAATGAGATCGAATGAGTAATAAATAGCCTCCCAACCAAGAAAAGTTCAGATCCTGAGGGTTTCACTTCTGAAATCTACAATCTGTTTTCTTCATTATTTATATATTTATAAATAATTTTATTTATTTTAATTTGACCAGAGAGACACACACACACACACACACACACAGAGAGGGAAAGTGAGAAAGTAAGCCACCAGGTCCGGGCCTTGAACTGTGATCAGCCATGTGGGAGGGTCCTGCACCTTCACCACCATGCCACTTGCTGGCCCCTCCACAAAACTTTTAAAGAAGAGCTCATTTCCATTCTTCTCAAACTATGTCTAACAATCCAAAATAAAAGAACCCTCCCAAATTCACTTTATGAAGCCTCCAATACCCTGAACTCTCAAATAGACAAGGACATAACAGCAACTACAACAAAAAAGTAAGTGATAAACTAATATCTCTGCTGAATGCAGATGCAACAATTCTCAACATGATACTAGCAAATTGTATCCAAAGACACATTAAAAAGATTATACAACATGATCAAGTAGACTATTCCAGGGCTGCAAGAATGGTTCGACATATGCAAAACCATAAATGTAATACATCATATTAACAGCAGGAAAGATTAAAAACCATATTATAATATCAATTGATGCAGAAAACGCATTTAATAAAATACAACATCACTTTATGATTAAGACTCATAGCAAAATTGGCACAGAAAGGACATTTTTCAATGCAATTAAAGCCATATATAAAAACCACAGAGCTAACATCATACAGAATGGGGAAAAGCTTTTATCCACTAAAACTGGAATAAGGCAAGGCTGCCTACTTTCTCCACTCCTATTCAATATAGTAATGAAAATCCTAGCCAATACAATCAGACGAGAAAAATAAAGTAAAAGACATTCAAGTAGAAAAAGAAGTTAAATTACCTCTGCTTTCAGATGACATGATTATATACATATAAAACCAAAAGAAATCCACACACACACACACACACACACACACACACAAAATAAAACCAAAAGAAATCCACACACACACACACACACACACACACAAAAAAACCTCCTGAAGTGATAAATGAATACAGTAAAGTGACAGGACACAAAATCAACATACAAAAAGCAATAGCATCTTTATTCACCAACAATGAGCACACTGAGTTTAAATTTCCTTATATGAGGAAAACTATGAAAAACTAAAGAAATAAATTGAAAAGAATACCAAAAAGTCAAAGTACACCCATGTTTATGGATTAGAAGAATTAATGCAATCAAAATGGTAATTACCCCTAGACTCTTGGTCAGCAAAGGACCCTGAGGCAGGGCCAGTCTCTGGCCACAGCCCCAGCTCCAGCTCCCCCAACCCCAGAGACACCCCTCTCAGGAAGGTAGGCAGATTTTTTTCCCTCTTCTTCTTCTTCTTTTTTTTTTTTTTTTTGTTAATTTCCTACTCCTCCTTATCCTACAGAACCTCAGCTTTCCAGCAGAGCCCCAGTTCCATCCTCAAACCCCTGGCAAAACTACACACTTCACACTATGACTTCTTT